GCAAAATGATTTTCATTTCAACACCCTCAGTTTTGAATTGCTAAATTTCCTGGAAAATTCTCCTTTTTTGGCTGAAATGCCTCCTGCGTTGGGTTTGTGCCCAAGAAGCGTTGCCTGAAGGGGGGCGGAAATCGGCTCGAGATGGCTGGTGTTCCAGAAGCTTCTGTCCACTCTCAGGCTCTTGATCACACAGCGTTTCAGCGCTCAGCCCTTGTTATTTCAGTTTAAGGTTTCTTCCAGCTCAAGGGGGTGGGGAGCGGGGGGTGGAGAGACGTTCACTGGCACCAGACATTCTCATCCATCTTCACCTTTTCTTGGAGGAAAGGGGTGAGGAGTGAAGACTGAAGCAGGTCCAGGGGAAGAGGCCAGCTCGCCCGGGGCCACTCCGTGTTCCCTGCCATTGCCTACCCCACCCCCAGATGTGTCCCACGTTTGCAATATTTCCCAAAGGGGAAACGTACTGGCCCTCCCTCCAAACCAGGGCCTCTCTCTCTCTCAGCACTATGGACACGGTGAACCAGAGAATTCCCTGACGCGGGGCCTGCCTTGTGCATCGAAGTGTACTCAGCAGCATCCCCAGCCTCTGCCTCGATCCTAGGAGCACCCCCTCTCCCAGTGCATCAGAAACGTCTCCAGATGTTGCCAGATGTCCCCTGGAGGCTACATTGCCCTCTGTTGAGAACCACTGGTCCAAACCAAGTAAGGTCATCTTTTTCCGGGCATCCTGCCTGATTCCTGCCTGACAACCCCCCACCCTACCCCCGGGTGCAATTACTTACCAGGCTCATGGAACAATTTAGCCTCCGATCAAATCAGCCAGTTGCTCGAGAGTCAGTAAACCCTGCTAACCTGGGAGCTCATTCAAAAGCCAGGATTGAGTGGTATCCGTGGCTGGGCCTGGAATGTTCTAGATGCTCAGCTGAACAACTTCTCAGCATCGTGTGAAGAACATAGCACGTATAAAGGGAACGTGTAACTGGGGAAGCAAAAATACAGGGTGTGGCCCCAAATCCAAAAGGTTCACAATGCATCCTGTTGGCCCAAATGTGGGCAAAACTGACCTTCCTATCCACCGCTGCTGGGAAGCGTTATGGGGGATTTGGCCACATCTAGCATTTTACTCACTGGCCAAGCAATCCCACTTCTAGGAATCTGTCCCAAATATTCACTGGCAAAAATAGAAAATCATGTTTGCACAAGGTTATTAATTGTGGCATTCTTTAATTGCAAAAGATTGGAAACACACTACGTGCCCATCCACAGGGCTCTGGTTTTAGTTGACTAAACCACAGTACATTCGCACAACCGAGTGGTACAGAGCTGTGAGAAGGTACATGCAGGACTTCTCTGCGCTGGATGGAGGAATCCCTGGGACGTATTGCTCAGTGGGAAAAAAGGGAGATGCACAACAGTACATGGCCTGCTATCTTTCAACAGAAGAGGGGGAGAAAATATTATACTTGAAAAAAATATTTGCAAAAAGCAACTCTGGGGACTTCCCTCATGGCCCAGTGAGGAAGACTCCATGCTCCCAATGCTGGGGGCCTGGGTTCGATCCCTGCTCTGGGAACTAGACCCCGCATGCATGCCACAGCTGAGAGTCCACATGCTGCAACCTAGAAGTCCACATGCCATAACCAAAGATCCTGCATGCAGCAGCTAAGACCCAGCACAGCCAATATAAATAAATAATAAATAAATAAATAATATATTTTTCTAAAAAGCAATGCTGGAAGGATAGAGCAAAGGCTAATTTAAAAATTGTTCTGATATGCAGAGGGAGAGAACAAGAGGGAAAGTATAATATGGAAATTAATGCAAATAAAGAGGGCTGGGTTTGTTGGGCCAGGTGGAGTGATCTCTGGAGCAAATTAAATAGAAAAGAGGCAAGCTTCAGTTTGGGGACTTCCCTGGTGGCCCAGTGGGTAAGAATGCAAGCTCCCAATGCAGGGGGCCTGGGTTCAATCCCTGGTTGGGGAACTAGATCCCGCATGCACGCCGCAACTAAGACCTGGTGCAGCCTAAATAAATAAATATTTTTTTAAGAAGAGAGAGAGAGAGAGAGAGAGACAAGTTGCAGCACCAATGTGTTCAGCGTGATCTCATGCTTGTAAATTTTTTTAAATACACATTTGTAATTTTGTAAATCTTGCGGAGCAGAGTCGGGAGAAGGGAGTAGTTTGTTTTACTTTGTGCCTTTCTGTGTTGCTTGAATCTGTTCCTGCGACAAGCAGTGACATTATTTGGTTATTAAAATATACTTTTTTTTTCCTTACGTGAAATCTCCAGATTTTTTAAAAATTAAATTTAATATTTATTTACGTTTCTCTCTTACTTTTGAATTTTGAGGTAAAGTGTGCATACAATAGTGTAGAAATCTTAAGTCGACCCTTCACTGAGGGTTTTTTTTCTTCTTTTTTTTGTTTTCTTTTTTTTTATATACAGCAGATTCTTATTAGTTATCTATTTTATACATATTAGTGTATATATGTCAATCCCAATTTCCCAATTCATCCCGCCACCCCCCGCCCCACTTTCCCCTCTTGGTGTCCATACGTTTGTTCTCTACATCTGTGTCTCTATTTCTGCCCTGCAAACCGGTTCATCTGTACCATTTTTCTAGGTTCCACATATATGCGTTAATATACAATACTTGTTTTTTTCTTTCTGACTTACTTTACTCTGTATGACAGTCTCTAGGTCCATCCACATCTCTACAAGTGACCCAATTTAGTTCCTTTTTATGGCTGAGTAATATTCCATTGTATATATGTATCACATCTTCTTTATCCATTCGTCTGTCAGTGGACATTTAGGTTGCTTCCATCACCTGGATATTGTACATAGTGCTGCAATGAACATTGGGGTGCGTGTGTCTTTCTGAATTACGGTTTTCTCTGGGTATATGCCCAGTAGTGGGGTTGCTGGGTCATATGGTAATTTTATTTTTAGTTTTTTAAGGAACCTCCATACTGTCCTCCATAGTGGCTGTATCAATTTACATTCCCACCAACAGTGCAAGAGGGTTCCCTTTTCTCCACACCCTCTCCAGCCTTTGTTGTTTGTAGATTTTCTGATGATTCCCATTCTAACTGGTGTGAGGTGATACCTCATACTAGTTTTGATTTGCACTTCTCTAATAATTAGTGATGTTGAGCAGCTTTCACATGCCTCTTGGTCATCTGTATGTCTTCTTTGGAGAGATGCTTATTTAGGTTTTCTGCCCATTTTTTGATTGTGTTGTTTGTTTTTTTAATATTGAGCTGCATGAGCTGTTTATATATTTTGGAGATTAATCCTTTGTCCGTTGATTCATTTGCAAATATTTTCTCCCATTTGGAAACAACAAACAAGTCTTTTCGTCTTGTTTGTAGTTTCCTTTGCTTTGCAAAAGCTTTTACGTTTAATTAGGTCCCATTTGTTTATTTTTGTTTTTATTTCCATTACTCTGGGAGGTGGATCAAAAAAGATCTTGCTGTGATTTATGTCAAAGATTGCTCTTCATATGTCTTCCTCTAAGAGTTTTATAGTGTCTGGTCTTACATTTAGGTCTTTAATCCATTTGAGTTTATTTTTGTGTATGGTGTTAGGGAGTGTTCTAATTTCATTCTTTTACACGTAGCTGTCCAGTTTTCCCATCACCACTTATTGAAGAGACTGTCGTTTCTTCATTGTACATCCTTGCCTCCTTTGTCATAGATTAGTTGACCATAGGTAAGTGGGTTTATCTCTGGGCTTTCTATCCTGTTCCATTGATCTATTGATCTATATTTCTGTTTTTGTGCCAGTACCATATTGTCTTGATTATTGTAGCTTTGTATTATAATCTGAAGTCAGGGAGTCTGATTCCTCCAACTCCGTTTTTTTCCCTCAAGACTGCTTTGGCTACTCGGGGTCTATTGTGTCTCCGTACAAATTTTAAGGATCCAGATTTTTTAACGTTTGGTTAAATATTCTTTTTTTTTCTTTTTTTTGGAGTATAGTTGATTTACAATGTTGTGTTAATTTCTGGTCCACAGCAAAGTGATTCAGTTAAATATATATATATTCTTTTTCATATTCTTTTCCATTATTGTTTATTACAAGATATTGAATATAGTTCCCTGTGCTATATAGTAAGACCTTGCTATTTATCCATAAAATATACATTTTTTATTAAGGTACACCAGACCCTGAACCGGACAGGGTTGGTTCTAAGTGCTGGGTGAGTGCAGTGGAGGAGAGGGGATTCCATGTGGACTCAGGTGGTCAGGGAGGGCTCCCTGGAGGAGTGAACAATGAGCTGGGCCCTGCAGGAGGAAGGGTCAGCAGTTCAGCCCTTGGGTAAAATTGAAATGTGGAAATAAATAGTAGCTGAACATCCCCCCTCCCTTCTCCCTCTGAAAATGGGGCATGAAGAGCACCTTTCTATAGGATTCCTGTGAGCATCCATTGACCTGTGGGTGCCTGCAGTGGACCCTTGGAACTGTGACTCTCACTGCTCTTTTTTAGTATATTAATATAATTCAACAACAGATACCCATGGAGGGTTTACCATGCCCAGAGCCTGAGCTAGGAGCCGAGGACACGTAGATATCTCCAGCGGCCCCGCCGCCCCCCCTCACCACCACGCACACACCAGGTCAGTTGTCCCTCATGGCGGTGGGTGCTTGTCCCCGGGCTCCACAGGATGGGGACCTGGCTGCTTTTGTTCACCGTTATGTCCCCAGGGCCCTAACCCTGTGCCTGCCACCCAGTAGGTGCTCAGTAAATGTGTTGCAGAATGGATGGATGGATGGATGGATGGATGAAGGAATGGATGAAGGAGTGAATTAAAGGGAGCTGCTCCTGTTCTCGGGCTGCACCATCCATCAGCAGAGGGAGACACAGGTAAAAGGCTCAGAGCACATCGCTGAGCTGGTGCCTGAGTCGTGATCATCTCGGCAGCTGCGGGCTGGGGGCCCTGCGGGCACTCACTGCGCGCTGTCCGCCGCCCCGCTGACCCTCGGGCCCCTCCGCAGGTGAGTGTCCCAGCCCCGGGCGCGGCGGCGCCGCCAAGCGAAAGAAGAAGCAGCGGCGGAACCGCACCACGTTCAACAGCAGCCAGCTGCAGGCGCTGGAACGCGTGTTCGAGCGCACGCACTACCCCGACGCCTTCGTGCGGGAGGAGCTAGCCCGGCGCGTCAACCTCAGCGAGGCGCGTGTCCAGGTGAGTGCTGCCCATCCGTGGGCCCCCCGGGGGAGCGTGCAGCCACCGCTCACCCAGGGTTAAGGAGTTGCCAAGGTGAGGTGTTTAAGAGCAGGACCATCTGAGGCTAGGAGGGCTGAGGTTCAATCCAAGCCCTGCCACTGACCAGCTGTGTGACCTTGAGCAAGTTACTCAGCCTCTCTGTGCCTTAGGTACCTCCCTGTACAATGAGGATCACGTGGGTCTGTTTTATAGGGTTCTTACGAGAATGAAAGAAGTTGATATCTTTGTAGCTTAGAGCAGTGCCTGGCACATGGGGTTTGGATAAATAAAAGTCGTTTTAAAGTGTTCAGTGCTGGGCTCCCCTGGTGGCGCAGTGGTTGAGAGTCTGCCTGCCGATGCAGGGGACACGGGTTCGTGCCCCGGTCCGGGAAGATCCCACACGCCGCGGAGCAGCTGGGCCCGTGAGCCATGGCCACTGAGCCTGCGCATCCGGAGCCTGTGCTCCGCAACGGGAGAGGTCACAACACTGAGAGGCCCGCATACCGCAAAAAAAAAAAAAAAAGGTGTTCAGTGCTTGTTCCGTGCCAGCCCTGAGCTGAGTGCCCAGCATGCACCTCTCTCATTACAACCTCACAGCAGCTAAATGCTCATCTATTCATTCTTTCATTCATCCACTTGCACATTCTCCAACACATACTTACCCAGCGGCAGGCACCATTTATCACCCCCATTTTACAGATGAGAAAATTGAGGCTCAGAGAGGTGAAGCTGCCAGTGCAGGGTGGGTGGCAGAGCAGGCACATACTGGGTGCAAAAGGACTTGGGTCCCCTCAGCAGCCCGCTCACCCCTCCTTCCCGCCCCCAGGTCTGGTTTCAGAACCGCCGGGCCAAGTTCCGCCGAAATGAGCGGGCCATGCTGGCCAACCGCTCAGCCTCGCTGCTCAAGTCCTACAGCCAGGAAGCCGCCATCGAGCAGCCCGTGGCTCCCCGGCCCACTGCCCTGAGCCCCGATTATCTCTCCTGGACGGCCTCGTCCCCCTACAGGTGAGAGCGGGAACCCTTTTGGGTCGGGAGGGCGCAAGCAACCAGGGGACCCCGTGGCGTGTTTTAGGGCCCAGACTCCTCTGAGGATCTGAAGAGAGCTGGGAAAGTTGCCCAGGTGCCCCGTGGACCTGGGGGGCACCAAGGGGTGTGTGGGCAAGCGTGTGAGCGTGTGGAGGGGTGAGAAAATGAGGCCTGTTTGGAAGGAGTGAAGAATCCACATCATCCTGAGGAAGCTGAAAACCTGCAGAATTCTAGGCTGGCACGAGGGCCCCAGCACCCTTCGTCAACCATCCCGGAGAGAGGCCGGGGGGCCGAGGGAGTGGTTCCCTGTCCCAGGGGCCTGGCTGGGACCCAGAGTCAAAGTCTGGGGCAGTTTTGTCCCGGTCAAAGCTGGGGAAAGGTGGCGGGGCAGGGAGAGGAGGGAGGTGCTGGCGAGTTGGGTTTCTGCACCCACAGTCCGGGGAGCGCCACCCACCCCTGAGTCTGTGCGAGCAGCTGTGCTGGAGCCATGGTCTTGTGAGAGGCAAGAGCCAGCGGGTCGTGGGATCTGAGTCCTAGTGATGCCCACGCTAGCCTCACAGCTCTCCCAGCTCCCCCCACTGCCGTGCTCTTACCTGGGGCGGGAGAACCTCCAAGAGGCCTCCTTCCATACAGGTGTGTGTTCATCCCAGCCCCATCCTGCTGTGTGCCAGGCCCAGGGCAGGCGCTAGGGGTGAACAGGAGCTTCCGCTCTCAGGAAGCTCCTGGTCCAGCGAGGAAGGACCACAAGCCTACGGGGGCGGCTCCATGTCCCAGGGCTGACTGTGGGCACTTCTGCCTCTTCCCCCCCGTCTTGTAGCCCCAGGGGAAGGCTTCCCAGCCGAGTGAGCTGAGGAGGGGAGGCAGGAGGACCAGAGGCTGGGGTCCAAGACTGGCCGCCAGAGGTGGCCAGCCCCTGGCGGTCTTCCAGCCACAGCAATATGTCCTTGTGTCTTATGTCGCCCCCAGCACGGTGCCGCCATACAGCCCAGGAGGCTCAGGCCCTGCGACCCCGGGGGTCAACATGGCCAACAGCATCGCCAGCCTCCGTCTCAAGGCCAAGGAGTTCAGCCTGCATCATAGCCAGGTGCCCACGGTGAACTGACAGCCAGCCCCACCAGGACCCCGCTGCCTCCCTGGCTGCCTCCCCGCTGCCTCCTTGGACAGGCTGGGTGGGCTCTCCTGGCCCCTCTCTTCAGCCCGGACTTCTGAGCCCAAGAGGCTGCTGAGATGCCCAGAGCCTGGCTCAGCACCTTCATCCACGGCCGCTGGAGACTGCGGCCCCTGTCCCTGGAGGTGTTGGGCTGGAAGGTTGGAGCAGCGGCTCACCAAGGACCTCACTTACTTTGTGTATTAAAGCCAAAAAGCTGTTGTCTTTAAGAAATAAAAAAAAAAAAATTTTAAGCCCCAAAAGATTGCGGGAGGGCGGACAAGGGCAGCAAACCAATGAAGGGACGGCCTTTTGGGGCCAGCTGCCCTCGTCTGTGTGCCCCTTTCTGTAGGAAGTCCTCCATCACCCTGTAGAGCCCCAGGGGTGGGGAGCCAGGTAGGAAGACAGAGACCTGCCCTGGAGCCCCTGACACCCGGGTGTTTGGGAGAAACCCCGATGTGTGACCCTGGCCAGGACCCGAACCCTCTCTGTGCAGGGAGTGTCTCCCCTGCCCTATGGCAGGAGCAGAGGCTGTGTGGAGGCAGATGCTAGAATTAAATCCCTTGCTGCTGGGCATGCAGAAGCTGGGGGTCCCCTGGGCGTTTGACTGTGGGGGACCCAGGCAGATGGCCCAGAATGTCGGGGTGCAGAGTGGAGGACCCATGTGGGCTCACAGGACAGATGGGTGGTTCTAACAGACAGGGCCACCTTCTTTCAAGTCCTCCAACCTACCGTCTCAGAGATGGCCACTGGGGGTGACAGAGGACACATGTGCCACCAGGCACTGACATCACTTATGAGGAGTGTGCAGAAAACTGTGGGGTGAGGGGAATGGTCTGAAGCCAGCCCTCTCCACCTGGCCCCGTGCCACGCCTGCTGACGGGCGCACCCTCCAGGGAAGTTAAGAGATAATTTCTGGGAATTCCCTGGTGATCCATCCGGTGGTTAGGACTCACTGCTTTCACTGCCAGGGCCCGGATTCCATCCCTGGTCGGGGAACTAAGATCCCAAAAGCCATGCGGCCGGAAAAAATAAAATATAATAAAGCGATCATTTCTGCAACCAGCCCCCAGGAAGTAAGACAACACTTCCTGACCCCCAGAGGGCGCAAAGATGCTCGGCCCCTCCGGAGGGGCGGCCCTCACAGTGACACAGCCATCACACCTCTGGACTCCATGGATGGACCCCGTTTCTCTAGTCTGCCCCGCCCACACCACATCAAAGCCCCCCCAAAGGGCCAGTGTCCCCCCCACCAGCCACAGGCTGCATCTTCCAGGTGACCTTGAATAGGTCAAAGCCATGTGACAATCCTAACGCGAGGGGTGGTCCCCATTTTTGTTTTAGAAGGTGTAACTAACCCCTGAGTGAGGTGAGGGCCCTCCCCACCTCCCCCAACTTACCCCCAGAGATTCTTCCCCATCCTCCATCGGGAATTCCACCATGAAAACACAGTTCTGGGCTTCCCTGGTGGTGCAGTGGTTAAGAATCCGCCCGCCAATGCAGGGGACACGGGTTTGAGCCCTGGTCCAGGAAGATCCCACATGCCGCGGAGCAACTAAGCCCGTGTGCCACAACTACTGAGCATGTGCTCTAGAGCCCGCGAGCCACAACTACTGAGCCCGTGTGCTGCAACTTCTGAAGCCTGCGCACCTAGAGCCCGCGCCCCGCAACAAGAGAAGCCACCACAATGAGAAGCCCGCGCACCGCAACGAAGAGTAGCCCCGGCTCGCCGCAACTAGAGAAAGCCCGCACGCAGCAACGAAGACCCAATGCACCAATAAACAAATAAATAAGAAAACAAAACAAACAAACAAAAAAGAAAACACGGTTCTTGCGGGGTGAGCTTTGTCCCCTTCAGATGGGCCAACAGGCCCTGGGGACCATCGCCGTGTGTCTTCCCTGTGGCTGGGCAGTTGGGACTCTTGTCCTTGGTAGGGGGGTGGGAAATGATGAGGTGAGGCACAGGCTACAGCTGAAGGTGTGGGGAGGGGCCATTCTGCCGATACATGGAGCTGGCTCTGCCGGCCTGACTATGGCAGCCAGAGCAAAGGGTTGGCCTGTGCCCTGTACTGTGTGTGTGTATGGTGGGGGAAGGGGGAAGGTGGGTACAGCCAGAGCTGTTTTCTTGCTCAGTTTGGCCTCTGCCTTGGGTAAGTGATTTCTGGGCTTCTATTTGCCATTCATTCACTGAACAAATATTATGAAATACTGTATGTGTGCAGGGCCCTACACTGGGCCCTGAGGAGAAAGCAGAGAATTGACATGGGGTCCCTGGCTTCAGAGGCCACACCAAGCCCAAGGAGCCCCAAACCGAGTCTAAGGCATCCAGGCAGGCTTCCTGGAGGAGGTGTCCTGGAAGGATGAAGAGTCCACCAGGCAAAGAGGGGAGTGAGAACAGTGTTTCTGGCTAAGGGAACAGCATGTGTAAAGGCCCTGGGGTAGGCCAGAAGCTGCCTCTTTGGGCCAGTGGGGACAGTTCTGGGCCTGGATCTCCTGCAGGATGAAGATGGAGAGAAGCAGGGACAGCTCACGTGGGGCTTGTGTGGCCAGATCTAAAGTCTGGATGTTGGGACTTCCCTGGCAGTCCAGTGGTTAGGACTCTGTGCTTCCACTGCAGGGGACATGGGTTCGATCCCTGGTCGGGGAACTAAGATTCCACATGCTGCGTGGCACAGCCAAAAAAATTGTTTTTTAAATTAAAAAATAAAGTTGGATGTCACCCTGGCAGTGAGGAGCCATGGAGAGGATTTGCTTGGTGGAGGGACCCGCCCCTTGGACCCTGTTGGAAGCAGAGAGACCCCTGCAGAGGCTGGGCTGGATGTCCAGGCAGGAGAAGTGGCAGCCTGGACCAGATGGGGACAGAGTGGGCAATCTGGGAGGTGTCGCAGACACAGCAGGGACAGGGGTTGATGACTAGGTGTTGGGCTGGGGAACAAGGGGGTGCCCAGGGGGCCAGGACTTGGCTTAAGCACGTGGATGCCTGGGAGGAAGAGACCCTGGCAATAGGACCCACCTGGTAGAGGGGTCGGGAAGATGCTGGCCTGCCCTTCCTCCCAGACAAGCGCTGGGGCCGTCCTGGTCTGAGCAGGGTCCTCCCTCACAAGGAGCTGACACCCACCCCAAGGATTTGCACCAGCGAAGGGCCGGCCCACAGGGCCCAGAGCTGTGCCCTCACGGGCAGCCAGGAAGAG